ATAGGCCACAGTATATTTATGCATGTTCATGTTAACAGAGATATCAGATGTCTTCTATTTTCCTGCTACAAGACTGTGCTACATAAATCATGACATAATATAATAAATTATGTGTTTGACATTTTTATTTTACTAACATGTTGAACAAAAGACAGAAATTTGGGACAAATTTTGTTTGACAGAAACAATGGTTTTCCAAAATGGCTGAGTCAACAGATTTTTCTCTGTGCACAGAGCAAGAGTTCCCCTTACTTCTCATCTTCCTTGAACTTAAAATATCCAACTTATTTCAGTTCCACAGGTCTCAGATGGTATTTGCTTTGGTTTTCAATTTCCACTTCCTGGCAGTCAGCAACAGTGTTGGTTATCATCTGCCACCGAGGCTTCCTTTGTGGCATGTCTGCTCAAGTCAGGGACCCACAGGTGGTCTTTTACTACTGAGTCAATTACTATTTTCAATACTTTCTTTTAGTTTCTGACCTTCCATTACATTTTCTTTAAAGTGTTCATTCAATAAATGTAAGTTTGTAATTCTAATATTGCCCCTTTTTCAATTCTTTCCTTTATGGAACTTCATATCAACACTCTCCCTTGTCTTCGTCCCTTTGGTTTTACTTCTCATATTTGATTGGCCAATCCATCTGCAATGGAATGTACGGAATGAAATGGGAGTTCAGCTTCTCTTCTTTCTCTCACTTCCTGATGCGCCTTTGCCAATCATTTCTCAGCTATTACAGACTATCTATGCCAAGAGCTGCATCTCGATGTCTCACTAATCGGCCTGCCCATTGACTCAGCTGTCTAAATTACAGCAATCTAAAAATGACAGTCTTTTAAGGCATTGATAGGGCTGTCTTACTGCGTTCTTCTTTCAAATGCATTTTAACAACTGCTTACAAAAGCCCCTGAAAACAGCTTTATGGTTTCACTAGAACCCACACCAATTTGGAGAAAATGGGCTCAACGTAGCTCTGAGTCTTTCAATCTGCAGATAAAATTTCTTTGCGTTATATACACTTGGTTTAACATATTTCAATAAAAATTGATTGCCCCTTTGAGGACCTTCCATACCCTTTATTTCTTGATATCTAGTAATATGATATTTAAATTTTACAATTTTCTCCTTATTTGTAGACATTCAAATACACGTTATATTTTAATAGCCCGTATTCAGAAAATGTACTAAAACCTCGTATTATTTTTAAAATAGGCGCTTTTCAAGTTTTCTAACTAGACAGTCTCATTATCTCAGACTGGTACCAGTTTTACTTCTTTGCCAACTTATTTCTTCTCTTCTTGCTTTCTAGCGCACTATCAGGTATTCTAGCGAGGTTGATTTTGAACTGTTAAACTGCACACATTCCTGGCTACACCCAATCAGGATGTGCAAACTTTGATGCACACTGTCAGATATGGTTTGATGACATTCTGCTTAAGTGGATTGTGCATAATTTTAATTTAATTTTAAGTTTTATTTCTCATCATTAGGTTTTGTGACCAAGGTTGTAACTAGCTAGTTCATCATCTCACATTTTCCAGATTGTAGCACATTTCTGACACCAAGGCCGTGTGACTATTATTCTTATGTCTGTGGGATTTGCTATACTTGGTAATGATTTACCTCATCTTTCTTTCATTTATTTTTTCTCCTTACTTCCTTATATGTCCGCACCCTTTTCCCTACTCCTTTCTCTCCTTCCTCTGCAGCCTTGGTTAGTCATAGTGCTTTCTTTCCCTTGTATTTTAAACTTTGAAACTGTAAATTCTTATTTCTCAAAAAACAACCTTTAGGCTTTGACTGAAGTGAACATACCAAAGAAATGATGTGCTTGTACTTCTTGTGAAACTCAGCACACATTATGCTTTGGTGATAATTTCTCACATAAGATGTTTTCTTTCTTGCTACATAGAAATAAGCTCTATCAGTAATTTTCCATAGGGTGGATTTATTTCAATCTATAGAGAGTAGCCCTGGCATTCCAGCTGACTGATGAAGTTCTCCAATTAGCCATTTAATTTAGAGTATGGATGGCATTTTGTCCACAATAACTCCAACTAACACCAACCATGGTATCATTAGAATAACTATGCATTAAGGATAAATGTGATGGTGAGGTGGACGGAAGAAGCCAGATATAAAGAAGCACTTTAGATTTATTTCATTCAAATGATATTTTAGTACCGGCCAGATTATCCTGTAGTATGAACAAGAAGGCTGGATGGTGCTTCTGGTTGAGAGTAACTGCAAGGTAACCGTTTGGGGCAAGAGCAATGTCCTACAATGTGGTGGGGAGATAATGCTTTCTTATCAAACTGCTAGCTTAAATACCTTAAAACGAGTGTATTTTAACATACTCAAATTGTTCCTCATTGAAGTTGATTTCAAATGGTGCCATAATAAGAATATTAAATTATACATCTAAGATCTATGTATTACTCTTCTATGTCAATCTTATCTGTGTAAAATAGCCATTTAAATCCCTTTTGAATTAGGGACTCCAGAACTCAGAGTTGTAGCTCCGATATCAATTTCAAAGGCCTGGAGCACTTGTGGAGGCGGCAAACAGCTGCCATGTAGAGGCCTGCACATATATAATGCTTTACAATGCCCTGGTGGTCATTCATTCTTTATTGCTTGTGAAAATTCACTTGTATGACCAAAGATTATTTCTAAATTAACACATTTCTAAGTAGAAGAAGGGCATTCGTGCAGTACAGATCTTGACATTATTCAGGTTATTGTCATGTTCACATGTGACGGAGGGAAGATGGAGGGAAGAGCTGGTGGAAGTGCCTGGTCCGCATGCAGCGAGGGAGAGTATGCTTGTGTTTCCAGCCTCGTCCCTGCCTCTGCTCGCTCTCCAGTCTCGCTCTGCATGACATTGATTCTCTTCCTGCTTCCATGCAGCTCTTTTGTGCTCTCACAATTTCCAGTACAAGTAACTCTACTCTCCATTTTTTTCATTTTAAAACTGTTATATGTTAAATGTATTCTTTGAGAAGTCCATATATGTGTAAACTGTAAGACCGTATGCACCCCTACAGTCTCCCTCCAACTTCTCCAGAAGCAGTACCCACATGTCCCCTCCAAACTACATGTCTTCTCCTTTTTAAAAACTCACTGGTCAATTACTGCTGCCACCAGGAAATGGGCGACCTACTGGGGAACACACTTCTGAGGGGCAGGGGAATCCTCTTCCACAGAAGCCATCAACTACAGCCAAGGGCTTCTCAGCGGGCTAACATCCTTTCATTATAAAAGTCCTGGAAAGGCTAGAGATGGAGGGAAGACATCTCAACATAATGAAGGCTGTGTATGACAAACCATAGCCACCACCAAGCCAATGGAGAAACACTTGAGGCATTCATCAGGAACAGAACAAGGGCATCCACTCCCATCACTCTCATTTAAAATAGAGCCTTAGTTAAAAAAAAAAAAATCAGGCAAGGACAGAAAAGGGACACAAACAGGAAAAGAAGCCAAAGTATCCCTATTTGCGGATAACGTGACTCTAATTATAAGGAACTGTAAGGATTCCACCAGGAAATTCCTAGAGCTGATGTACTTTCTTTACAAAGTGGAAGACTACAAAGTTACTGTGCCCAAATCAGCAGTTAACTTCCTACCCACCAAAATCACACACTGGAAAAAGAATCAAAGAAATAATCTCATTCACAATAGCCTCAAAAAGAAAGAAAGAAGACCTTGGGATAAACCCAACTAAGGATATAAAGTGCCTATATGATGAATACTTTAAAATATTGACAGAAAAAATTGAAGAAGACCTTAGAAGACAGAAAGAACCTCTATGTTCATGGATTGTTAGGATTAATACTGTAAAAAATTATTCATCCAACCAAAAGCAATGTATGGATTCAGGTAAGGATGCAAGAAATGGAACAAACTGCTAACAATCGGGACTTCATGAAACTAAAAAGCTCTGTAGCACAGAGGAAGTTATTGACGAACTGAAGAGACATCTGCAGAATGGGACAAAACCGACAGGAGATTAATGTCTAGAATATATGAAAAATTTTAAAAAACTAAACACGAAGAAAATAATAAATCCAACTTAAAAAACGGGCTATGGAACTGAACAAAGAGTTCTCAAAAGAAGAAATACCAACAGGTAAGAATTTTTTTTGCTTATTTTCTTTTGCATTTCAAGAGAGGGTTTCACTGTGTAGCCTTGGTTATCCTGGAACTAGCCTAGACCAGGCTGGCCTTGAGCTCAGAGATTCACCTGCCTCTTCCCCCCAATTGTTGGGATTAAGGCCTGCCCCACCATGCCCAGAGATGAGAAATATTTTTAAGAGTGTACAACATCCTAAGCCATCAGGAGAACGCGAATGAAAGCTTTTCTCTAAATTTAATTTTACTTTCTTGATATGATTTCAGATTTACGAACAAAACAATATAGTTAAGAATCAGCCTCTGGACCACTATTAGGGTTTAGCTCTGTGTTGTCAGAGTCCTCTCATCCCAACCCTATTAACCACACACCAGTCTGTTGGATGTGCCACTATTTTTATGACTAATTAAAGTTCATTACCTATTTTTGTCTGTCTACTCTGTATGTTCAGCCAAACATATCGTGAAAACTTAAGAAATTAATTAATACCAGAAGATTCTTTGCTAAAAAAAAAACAGATTTAAGCAGAAAATCAATTGTTATGTAGACTATAAAACATAAATACAGTCCTAATACTGAGTTTCCTTGTAAAGTTTTCCCTCTTTTTTTGAATCACAAAACATTTAAAGAATTAGGGGTTAAATATACCCGTGGTTAAGAGAAAGTGAGTCAATCTTACAGACTTGCACATAGAATGCATATTATATTTTTCAAACCATTATTTTCAGATTATTATTTAATACACAAAAAGCACAGCCCCAGAAATGCTTTTCAGGGAATAGGAAGTTAATAAGACCTGTAGGATATTTAATTTCACACACCAAGCAAGAGAGTACAGATAAGCAGATTTTCTGCCAAAACACAAACCTTAAGGAAACGGTTGTTATTGTTATTGCAGTTGCCAGACATTCCTTGCAATCCAGCCACAGTGCTCTAAAAAGTTGACAGAAACAATTAAAGAAGGCTTCCCCCAACCCCAAGACAGCAGGATAGAAAAACACCAAGGTTCAAGTGTTGGCTGGACCACACACTGTCCAGTACCGAGAAGAGACTGCTGCACCTCCACGCCCTAGGTGGCAGACACAGGGTGGCGTCTCTCTGCACTGGTATATGCACAGTATTAAACAGGTGAGCAACAAACATTGCTCTCTCTGCCTCACCTACAACAAGCTGTTTCCAACAAGGAACAACAAACAGCCAGAGACAAACTCAGTATTAGCCCTACAATGTTTTCCCCACGAAAATTATTTTGATAAACCATTTTTAATACTTATGCAACCACAGTTTCCATTAAACTTTTGCTTCCAACTGTTACATGCTAACAGAAGCAATAAAAACAAATATTCCTGTGGGTATTTCATACAATACGTAAAAAGATTCTAAGAGGCAAACTGTCACAATATTATAAAATGATATGAAATTCTAGCAACAAAAACAAATAATAAAAAAAGAATAGTTCTATTTTAAGACAGAGAGCTGTTTTCTGTTGATGATGAATCATGTTGTAATCTGTTGCCTAGAAAGAGGTTGAGATGTTATTTGTGATATGCGCTTTATAATGTGACAAACACTCTATTATCAAAGGATCCTTAAGGATGTAAAATAATCATAAAAAGTTTGTAAGTTTACTCCTTTTAACTTCAGTGTGACCATACCTATTTTCTGAACCAAAGAGATGTAAGTGCAGTCAATATTGTTTCCAGCCTGAGCACACAGCACTTCTAATGCATACTGTTCTTATGTAGAAATACAGCCAAAATACAAATAAACTCCACAAAGTAAATAACAGAGCAATATCACCTAGCCACTGTCGGGTGAACATCGACAGTTACAGATTATAATGGGATACTAAATATTGTTAAATTCTACTTGAAAATTTTACCATACACTCAGTGTTTCATGGCATGGTGTTAACTGAGGGTTTTATTAAATCCTCCATGGTTACCTTTCAAATTGGAAAGAAAGAAAAATAGAAACAAAGAAAGGGAAGGGAAGGGGAGGGGAGAGGAGGGGAGGGGAGGGGAGCAGAGGGGAGGGCAGGGTAGGGTAGGGGAGGGGAGGGGAGGGAAGGGAAGGGAAGAAGAAACAAACAATCCCAGTGAGATTATCAGTTCTCCTAAACCCAGACATGTGGTCACTCGCAGATGTGCATGTATGTGAACCTTTCAGCCTTCAGATTTCCATCTCCTGCTCTTTGGGGGATCCCCTCCTAGTCTTCGGTCTCCAGGCAGGGTCCCTTGTGCTTTTCCAAATTAGAATGGTTAGCAGAGTGCATAGAAACAGGAATGCAAATTCAAACAGAATCAGTTGTTTGCTTATTGGAAACTCTTCTAGTTTAAATATTTGGAGAAAAGCAGAAGCAGCAGAAATTTAAATAGTTTGAGGATTATCTATACATTTCAAATTCTACTAGAGCATGACTTACAATTTCCTAAAGCGATACAGCAGATGAACAGAGGCCTAATACACAACAATCTCCCTTCACAAAGGGCCAGTGTCCTTTAACAACTGCAGGAAACATTCTCACATCCAGATGTTTCCTGTATAGCCAACTCAAGCAATCTGTCAATGTGATGTGCTCCAAGTTAAAATGAACCCTGCATAATTTGATCAAAACGGAAGCATTGCATCCTTCTGTGGGCAACACTCATCTCAGCCCTCGCTTGGAAAGTAGCTAGTTGAACTTGGTGGCTCTGTGTAATCAGAGGTTTTCCTGGCTGTGTTCAGGCAAGGTCACAGAAGATATTAGCAAATAAAATGATTCTAAATTTGAAATTACAAGATGATTCTGTGAATTATAAGAAAAGTGAAAAGCCTTGTGACCAACTGTACATATTAGGCAGGCCTGTCCTAACAAAGATACGCAAATCAATAAACTGGTCAATTATATATGAAATTAAATCAATTATTCAAAGCCCATCTAACCACTGGATATCCAATACTGGCCCTTCTCACTTCACTCACATCTTAGTCATTTTACTTTTCATTCACAGTGGAAGAGAGAAAACAGAAAACAGGGAAAAAACCCTGATCCCCCAACTTAATATTTGGTAGTATTAATTAAAAATTTGAATCAAGTGCCAATATTGGAAGTTCTAACAGTGGAGTAAATTTCACTGTTTGTTTTCCCTTGCTTGCTGTGGGAAGGCACCGTGTAACACCTAAGAACGGAGGACCCTGGACGAAGAGCACAGGGAAGTCCGACGAATGAAGGTCAGTGTTCCCTGCATTAACACAGCCATGGGCTCCAGATTTCAACTGTTACAACTCATAAAGGAAGAGAACATTCAACTCAATCTTTTTTGTAAAACATTTCTCTATCAGTTGATCTTCCCTTTAGACTCTACTGGATGATACTTACACACGGCTGACTACAGTAAGCAGGTTGTCAAGTTTGCAATATCCCTATTATTAGAAACACAGAACAAAGGCTCACAGACCTGAGGAATGACAAGAAACACCATAACTCAAAACAAGAATCATTTTGACACCTTTTGTTGTCCAGGTATTCTGGTCTGAATAGGGAGAGAGCCATGGGGGGCATCCTGCGTGCTCCGTCTGAAACCTGCACAGCGCATTGGCCTCTGGGGCCAGGGAGAGAGCTCCGATCTGAAACTGCCAACAGCTCATCAGACAGCTGGAGACACACCGTGGTTATTGGAGCTGTAGGAGGAATCTCTCTCTGTCGTGCTTGAGAAGCGTGATGAGACCAACTCCTACAATAGTTTATGATCCCAGTTTCACTCACTCTTCTCCCCCTAAAACACGTATTCAAGTAGCAAAGAACTCTCTTTGCTTTTCTTAAATAAACAATAAATAATTCTTTCATTTATTCCAACTATGAATTTAGAGAAAAATCACTTTCCATCTGCCCTTTTCTATTTCTCTTTTCTCTCTCTTCCCTCCTTCCTTCTCTTCTTTCTCCTATCTCTACCTCCCTCCTCTCTCTCTCTCTCTCTCTCTCTCTCTCTCACACACACACACACACACACACACACACGGGGGCAGGGGGAGAAAGAGAGAGAGATTTTAGAAGCTTATGTTGAAACTTTAGGGTGGCTAATTGTGATCAGTTAATTCCTCAAAGTAACTGGAAGAAACATGATTATGAGATAGGGAACTTTTGCTAGAGGAGGTTTACAGTGGCTAGATTATTTTAGCATTCCCCCTTACTTGTAAACTATTCTCTTTAGTTAAACACAGGGAAACAAAACAAAACCAACACCATATCAGACAGACCTGGGACTCAAGCTCTCTGTCCTCGGCTTCCTCAGGGCTGGCACTATCTGCAGGCTCCCACATCCTGGTCTAGACTGAGTGCCTACTTTCTAAGTGTGGACCATGAGCCAACAGCAGTTCTGATGTAGCCTAACCTCTGTACTTTAAAGCCAACAATTCAGTGGCACACAGTCTTAGCTTTTTTTCTTTACCACTTGATGTTCCCCTACTACCCAGACCACCAAATACAAAACTATCAGAGTAGAGAAGTGAAAATCCAAAACTGAAGAAAATGATTCTATAATCCTACAGTAGGCCTAGATGCTTCTAGTAAAACTTAAAACACTAGAGTAGGAAATTGAAAGCTCGGCTAAATATTTGAGGAAATCTTCTGTTTAGTTTCAAAATTTTAGATTATGTATTTTTGACTCAGTATTCCAGTACAATAAGAAAATTCTGGCCAAATATACTCCGTAAGTACAAAATGAAATGGAGAAAATAATTCTAAAAGACTATTTCCGTCATGGACAATCTCTCTGCTATATTATAATTCTAAAAGACTATTTCCGTCATGGACAATCTCTCTGCTATATTATTCACTGGTCAAAAGTTAAATGATGCCGAGTATGGTGGCTCACACTTGTAATCCAAAAGCAGGGAAGCTGAGGGAAAGAGCTGCTATGAGTTCAAGGACAGCCTGGGCAAGGTTTCACATAAGGAGAACCTATCTCAAGAAACAAATAAAAATAGAACAAAATAAAATGTTAATTGATATTTGACCTGCAATTTGATAATATAAGAAATAGAGACTATGCCCTTATTATACCACAAATGCATGAAAATTTAATATATACTTGGATTAAAGCCTGCTAAATTAAATATACATGAAAAAGACATGAATGCCCACTCATTAATCTCTTTCTGTGTCATAGATAAAAGCAAAATCACAGTCTGGATAAATAATATATTCAGGTGTGCAGAAGTTGAAGGTATGAAATCTCTCTGTGCTCTATCAGCTGACATAAAGAATATTTATTTTTTCAGAGCATTTACACGTGTATGAAGTATGAAATACTACAACTAAATTACTGATGAATTTTTTGACATGTCAATATAAAACATATGTATGTTTGAATGTGTTTGTAATAAAGTGTGTTGTCCCAGCCTATCAGTGTGCACTTGGAATTGACATTAGAAACAGTCCAGCGTCTGTGTCTCATTATAGCACACAGGGTTCCGGAGGGCCGCGTTCACTTGGGGGTTAGTGTTGACTCATTTACTTGATCTTCTACAGAGCTCAGGATGTAAGATCATTCCAATATGTACCTGTGCCATGGGACACACACTAGTGGAAATGCTTTGCTCTGCATTATGTTAGCACGGATCACTGCAAGCACATCCAAAAAACTTTCTCTTCCTGGGGTGAGGGGGGAAACTCTGGAAAACCTCAGCCATCTCCAGTGCTTTTCTGTCTATGTTTGTGTATGTGTGTGTGTTCGTTTAAATGTTTTATTGATTCTTCCAAAGGGAAAAAAAGTATTACAAACTATTTTGGACCATTTGGAAATGATTGAAAACATATAAAGCAGAAAGAAAAACCATCTAATTCCAACAATACAGACAGACATTATTTTATGGGTTCTGCTTGTTTCTACAAACTTTTTTCAATAGTTTGTTAAAAGTTAATACTGATTAGCTTCCATAGTGTTCTAGGAACCATGAATCGATTTATAAGAGAATATCGGGTACAAGTGGTATTTCTTTTCCAAGAGGTTGAATTTCAGCTCAGCATAGATGACATCCTCCTTTGGAAAGGATAAAGAGCCTGTGACAGAGGAGCAACATGGTGAGAAGTTCAGGAAGAAACAGCTGTGTTCCCTACCTCATCATCATCGGCATCATACTGCGCATAGTGGCGCTCCAGCAGTTCCCTCTGGCGCCTCTCCTGTTCCAGGGTCTGGCTGATCAACTGGGCAACCTCGCTCACTTGACCTGGTTTTTCTCGCCCAATAACAAACCTGTGGAAATGTTAAGAGAGGGTAGTACAGACACAGTTAGCCAGTTAAGGAAAATGGTCACATTCAAGCCAGAGCAGAGTCTATTTAGACTAGAAAGCACTATGACCCATGTACTGCTGGTAGCTAAGAGACGATAGGTTTACTCAACCAGGTAAACACTGTCCACACACAGCTAAGCAAGAAAAAAATGGGCAAAAATCAGGGACACTCCACAAAGAATGAACATTCAGGAAAGTCATAACAGATGCAATCTGGGCAGTACTTTACACATTTTGATGACTCAAGAAATGGAAGCCTGGACATAGTCACCTGTACTTGATGATCCAAAACATTTCTATAACAATGTCCCATAACATCGCAAACAAAGCATTTCGCAGTAGACCCCACATTAGGTGGTTAATGGAGGGACATTGACTTTTGTTGAGTTTTTAGAACTTTGTTGACACGAAGGAGAAATAGAAGGATTTTATTGCAATTTGTTTTTAACAAAAAAATACAGAAAAAGGTGGTAAAGTAACATGGCATATTCTTTCACATTAACATATGATTCTATTTTCAAAAATGCAAATAATATGTCTATAGTATATGGTTTCTAAATACCACTTAGAATCATTATTTTAAATGTGATGCTCAGTCTTTTCTATGCTTAATTGTTACACATATCCCTTGATTACAGGATGTTGTTTTATTTAATCTTAAGCCATGTAGATCACCATTTTCTGTATAAGGACAATGAAGAACAAATTATTTGTTCTTAGATGTTTCTAGTTAATTGCCTTTCCAACACACTTTCATACAGTTTCCAACAGACCAGACTTGGCTTAGAATTAGGCTCAGATGTTCATCATCTCATTTCTCTTTGGGAGTCAAGAATAAAAATGATCCTACAGATTTTCTTTGTCAAATGTAATTCATATTTAGTAATACATACCTATTTTAAATGTTTGATTCAATAAGAACAACAAACACAAAGGCCCGTGATCACTACATCAATGAAAATATGGGGACAGTCTATCGACCCAAAGCATTTCCTTATATGGCTTTCTAGAAAACTTCTTCACTCTGGTTCCACGCTAATCTCTGGGAGTTTCACTTAAATGAAACTGTGATTTCTAGAGAATGTTTTACTGTATGGGATAGACTTCTGGCAGACGTATTCTATTAACAGTCCTAAATTTAGATGATTTTATTATACATCAAGTTACTATAAATATCTGCACATGAGCCTTTATAGACATGTTTTCATTCTCCTTTAACAAATAATCAATGAGTTGAGTCAGACGGTAACTGCCTGGGTAACTTCTCAAAGAGTTGCCATTCTGAATAAGAGGGAGCCATTCCCCATTCTCCTCACACTGTACAAGATCCATACCTGCCGTACATCTTCACCATAACCTGGGGCAGCCACTCTCTAAATCTCCAGCCATCCTGGTGTGTCTGGTATCAGTGCTCTCAGGACAATGATTCTAATCATTCACATTTTACCATCTATTTCTCTTTTTTCATGAAATATTTTTTCAAAAGTATTGTCCACTTTAAAAATTGTTTATTTTTATGATTGAGGTGAAATGTCTCTTAGTACATTTTGGTACATAATTTTATCTCTTTTTTGTAGATATGTATACACACAAAATGTACAGTTACATATTTATGTGTCTAATCTATTAGACTCTCCCAGTTTATGCTTTCCGATCTCAGCATTTCAAATTACGTATATGAAGTTTTAAAAACAAACATCAGTTTCTACTTTAGCAGAACACCATCTTCAAAATCCAGTGGAGGAAACAAATTCAGACTTCCTATGTGATGAAGCTGTCACCTCTTCCCAGCGTCTGTTTGTCAACACAATAATAAACACAGACCTGCTGGTGGCATACTGAGTAGATTTTCATAATCAAACTGTTGAATCATACAAAAAATAAATGATGTCTTTTAATGAATTCTAATTCCTAAGATTTCTCCCCTACTTTATGATTAAATCTTTTTTCCCTTTATTTCTTTCATTTAAAATCCTTCTCAAAGTTAAATTTAATTTTCAGGCATACTGTGTCATAAGGATAGTTTCTTTCTTTCCAAACAGCCAGTGATTTCAATATCATTTGTTAAAGACTGTTCTTTACAGTGAGTCTGGGACCTCTGAGGGAGTGGGTAGGAACAAGAAACCTTTGTGGGTCTGGGTGCGAGTCTGGGACCTCTGAGGGAATGGGCCTGAGGCAGAGACCTCTGAGGATCCAAGCATGAGTCTGGGACCTCTGGAAGAGTAGGCCTGCGCCAGTGTCCTTTGTGGGACTGGGCCCAAGATAGGGACCTCTGTGGGAACAAGCCAAGGCCAGGGACATCTACTGAAACAGGCCTGAGCCAGCAGCCTCTGCCAGAGTAGGCCTGAGGCAGTGAACTTCACAGGAGCAGGCACAGGGAGCCACCACTGAGGGAACAGGCCCAAAACAGAGACCTCTGAGGTAGCAAGCCTCAGTCAGCTATATCCCCTGGAGCAGGCCTGATTCAGTGATCTCTGCTGGAGTGGGTCTAAGACAGCAAAGTCGGCCAGAGCAGGCCCAAGGCAGCAATCGGAGCAAAAACAGCCCCAAGCAAGCAATCTCCATGGGAGCAGGCCCAAACGACCCCTGATATTGCAGAGCAAACCCCGGGAGCACAAAGCAACCTCCAAGAACATGAAGTGACCAATGGAGTGACTGGAGCCATGGCCCTGACTGCACCATGAGGAGTAACCATCTGAGCCTTGGATTCACTGGCACCTGGAAGATTTATCACTGGAGTCACAGACAGCTAAGACTACATCAGTCAGAGGGAAAGATGGGTAGACAAGATAAGAACACATGCAGCACCACAAAGAACCACACACCAGTAAAAAGTGGTGACCCTATAACAGCAAGACTTAAACAACCAAATATAGATGAAGCGGAAGAAAATGTCCTAAAAAATAACTTTAGGAGAATATTTGAGGCCCTTAAAGAGGAAATTTAAAATTCCCCCAAAGAAAGGGAGGAAAAGAGAGAAAATAACCAAATTAAAATATAAGAAATGAAAAGGGGGACATAACAATAGACATAGAGAAAATCCAGAGAATTATCAGGTCATATTTCGAGAATCTGTACTTCACAAAATTGGAAAATGTAAAAGAAATGGACAACTTTCTGGATAAATAACACTTACCAAAATTAAATCAAGATCTGATAAGGATAGACCTGTAACTGATAAAGAAATAGGAACAGTCATCAAAAATCTCCTCCCCCCAAAAAAGCCGAGGATCAGATGGTTTCAGCTCAAAATCCTAAAAGATTTTCAAAGAAGAACTAATACCAAAACTTCTCAAATTGTCCCATACAATAGAAACAGAAGGAACATTGTCAAACTCCTTTTATGAGGCTACAATTACCCTGATACCCAAACCACATAAGAGCATTGCTAAGAAAGAGAATTACAAACCAATATCACTCCTGAACATTGATGCAAAAATACTCAACAAATCACTGGCAAATCGAATCCAAGAACACATCAGAGTTATCATCTTCCTGATCAAATCTGCTTCACGCCAGAGATACGGGAATGGTTCAACATAAAAAAAAATCTGTCAATATAAACCACCATATAAATAAACTGGAAAATAAAAACCACATGATCATCTCATTAGATGCTGAAAAAGACTTTGACATGTATTTCGATACAATAATGCTTCATGATAAAGGTCTTGGAGTGAGCAGGAATAGAAGGAACATACCTAAACACAATAAAGTGTTTATTTAATATACAGTAATATTATATATTAATATACTGTTAATACAATTAATAATTGTTAATATACAGTAAGCCAACCGCCAACATCAAACTAAATGGAGAGAAACTCACAGTGATCCCACTGAAATCAGGAACAAGACAAGATATGCAATATAGTTCTTGAGGTCCTAGCGAGAGCAATAAGACAACAAAAGGAGACCAAGAGGATACAAATCAGAAAGGAAGAAGTCAAACCCTCACTATTTGCTGATAATATGGTAATTTAAAAAAGTGACCCCCAAAATTCTACCACGGAACTTCTACAACTCATAAACACTTTCAGTAATATAGTAGGATACAAGATTAACTAAAAAAAAAAATCAGTAGCCCTACTTTACACAAATGATAAATAGGCTGAGAAAGAAATCAGAGAAACATCACACTTCACAATAGCCACAAATACCATAAAATATCTCAGAGTAACTCTAACGAAACAAATGGAAGACTTGTATGACAAGAACATTAACTCTTTAAAAAAAGAAATTTACAAAACCAGAAAATGGAAAGATTTTCCATGTTCTTGGATAGGTAGAATTAACATAGTAAAAATGGCAATCTTACCAAAAGCAATCTACAGATTAAATGCAAAATCCCAGAAAAATTCTTGACAGACCTTGAAAGAATGGTACTCAACTTCATATGGAAAAGCAAAAAACCCAGTATAGCAAAAACAATCCTGTACAATAAGGGAACTTCTGGAGGCACCACAATCCTTGACTTCAAGCTCTACTGCAGAGCTACAGTACTGAAAACAGCCTGGTACTGGCATAAAAACAGACAAGAGGATCAATGGAACCAACTCAAAGACCTAGATATTAATTCACACACATATTAATACCTGATTTTTTGACAAAGAAGAAAAAAATATAAAATGAAAAAAATAAAGCATATTCCACAAATAGTGCTGGCATAACTGGATATCAACCTGTAGAAAATGCAAATAGATACGTAGAAGAATACAAATAGATCAATATCTATCACCATGCACAAAACTCAAGTCCAAATGGATCAAAGACCTCAACATAACGCCAACCACACTGAACCTCATAGAAGAGAAAGTGGGAAATATACTTGGACGCATTGGCACAGGAGACCACTTCCTAAATATAACCCCAGCAGCACAGACAATGAGAGAGACAATAAGTGGGAGCTCCTGAAACTGAAAAGATTCTGTAAAGCAAAGGACATGTTCAACAAGACAAAAC